GTAGGGGGTGATGTTGCTGTAGTCGAACGGTGAGACGGACGTGTAGTTCAGTTTTGGGCACGCGTACGGTGCTGCAGGGATTATATATAGGTGTAGTAGTACCTCTTCGGGCTCTTGTACACCTTTTTCTTGCTACGTGTGCGTGTTCTTTAGATCCTCAGATGGCTCTAGCACTTTCGTGACCACGGGCTGAGAGTCTTTGCTAGATTTTGGCATATAGCAACTGGCATACGGTTTAATGTGAAGTCAACAACAACATCATGATTCCCTACGCAAAGATATCCATGATATCTACCGTTCGCTTTGTACACGGTCTACAATGCGTATGCTGTCGGTTAAAAGAGTTAAATAGCGACCGAGACCAACGTGGTTGTGATCAGAGAGAATCAGAAAATGTGTCCTGATCGGACACTACTTTGCTACGGCAGGCATCTATACCACGGCACCCCAACGGATCTACCTGCTCTTGATGGGCTCTGGCTGATAACGGCTGCAGAGAGCACCAGCAACCCGCAGAGCATGACCAAAGCATTTTGTACCGGCTGGCGCACATACCTCTGGAGTAGGATGGAGGTGTGGTCGGTCTCGAGCTGAAGGACTCCTTGGAGAGAAGAGTGGAAAAGCTTGTGAGCGTGTGTGCGTTGTGTGTGGGGAACGTGCGATCGTGCGATCGCTTTTTTTTCGGCGCAGCTCGGGCGATCGGGCCGCTTTATTTTTTTCCTGTCTCGCTTTACTGCCGGTGGGGGCAAGCGGGGGAAACAACTTGTCCGTTTTTGTTCATTTCTTTTTTTATCCGCCTGGCCGGGTCATCGGCGACGAGCTGTCTCCCCGACTACTCTCACCGGTCGTGTATCTAGCTTGTTTTACGCCGGGTATGGCGTGCATGAGAGACAGGTGCAATGGGCGTGTCGTACTATTATGTGACATGGGCGATGTGGGTCGTACTCGGCGTTGATCGCAGAGAAAGTACATGAATCTCTGCTGTTGTGGTTCACGGTCGGTCACGTGTGGTGACCGTCAGCGCTGGACAGAATGAACCAGCGGGGTATTTTGTCCCTCGTCATCATGACTGCTTCGTTCGGGTGATCATGTGTAACATACTACGATTGGCAGTGTCGGATGCACAGGACCTGTCTGTATGTAGCAGGTATCTCAACGTGGATCGATAACCTCTCGTCGCTCGATGAACAGTCCAGAACAGGCTTAGCTTTCTCTCCTCCGACGATATTTTCATTATTGGGAATACGTCCGGGGTATCTCCACATCCTACACCGTAATAATTCTGTCGTCCGTCCAAGCAACTGAAATAAGAATCTTCGTGGGGCACACCGTTACATATTAGCATGTATGCCGATTCCCGGGGCTGTATTCACATGGTCACGTGGTATATTGACGGATGGCATTTTTTTTTCAGACATCGCAATACAACCCAGACCTTGATTGAGCAAGATTGAGTAGACTATTTTGCGGGGGACCATCCATCGATCCACGTTCCAGCGAACAAGTCCTCGCATGGACGCCCCTCTTTAGTGCGATCAACTTATGGACGCCCCGGTACCACAGATAATCGAGTGATGCTGCAAAGCGTGAGGGGGGAGGAAGGTTGACGGTTACCTCCCTCTGGCGTGGTTGTAATTAACTCCTTCCTCTAATAGGCTCGATTGGCTTGCTGTACCTCCGGATATTTCAGCGTTACCCCCGGCTGCCATTTCTTTTCCTCATAGATAGCAGTATTCCCTGCGCGTCGCTCTGCTTTAAGGCGTGCATGTTTTCCAGGATTAATCCTTACGGTAAGGGTCTTCTTTGCTGGTTCGAGCGACGGCACGCTTTTCGGGAGACATTGAGGCCAGGACGTGTTCGTTTCTCGAACTTGGAAAGGATGAACGAGCGAGTAGTAAATGACGAACGCTTTTTTTGAAACTTGGAAGAGAAGAACGACATGCTGGAAACCTCCGAAAAGAACAGCATGGTCGAGGACAACATGGTGACCAAATGTTTCGCGACCAAGCGCTGGCCGTAGTGTTCATACATTCCGGGCTCGGACCAGTCTCCAACGGCCACATCAGGGTGCATCGACGGCATTCGCTTTAAGTTGTACAAAATACAAAGTTCTTTTAGCCACCCACTCGTGTAGAAAAAAACAGAGAACTCTTGCCTTCGTTTCAGAGACCGCCACGTACATACAACCGGTCGCCCCGGTTGTCTAGTGGGTAGCCTCGCAGCCTGCTAAGGGCCAGGTCGTGGGTTCGAGTCCCGGCAGAGTGAGTGTTTTTCTCACTAAATAAATCCTGGTCTACGATGAAAGCGACGCGCTGCAAAGTTCGTTGTTAGTAAACTTGATCGACTTCTGAAGTCGCGAGGGAAGGGATTGCTGTACCCTTCTCGCGATAAAAATACCTCAGGCAGGAACCGCAGGAGGGGGTCCAGCCCCCCCCTCCTATGTGACCCCGGTTGGGTCGTCTAGCTAGTAGAAGTGGAAGATAGGGGCCAGAGGGGCAGACGACAGAGTCCAATGATGGGAGAAAAAAAAAAATACGACGGGCGTTCTTTCAATCTTGTCGTCGGTCTATACTTCGCACGCTTGACACCATCCATGTTCCAACTCTCTAGACTACCTCATAGACCCTCACGACTGATCCATCATGTAGGCACCTACATCGAGACAACCGCAGCAGGACAACCTCGTCCGCCCACTTGGAAAGGTAGGAGCGTCAAGACATCGCGAGGAGGAGCGGAAATGAAAACTCCCTCGCCGGCCGGTCACCTGGTCCCACCCTCTCGTGTACGGCGCAACGTTGCTCATCTATGCCTGAGCCGCGGGTCCACGAACAACTCCGACAATGTAGACCATTTGGCCTCCGAAACACTTACTTGCAACACACAAGGCCGTCACCCTTTGCCTCTCCGCAAGCACAAGACGACACTACAGTCCACAGCCGCGGCTTTGGGTTGGCTTTGCGTTCAGATTCTGAGAGGCAAGTCGATGGCACAGAGTCCTAAGACTACGCTGTCACCGGATTCGACTTAGGTCTCTCCCTGCTTTGATCAATCTACTCCAAGAAAGCTCATGGATCATCGCAGATAACAACATTCTGCATGCATTTGGTGCCTGAAAGAAAAAACCACAAGAAGAACGCTCAACCAACACAATGCCGATCTACATCGCCAGAAATCCGACAAACAACGGCGGCTAACAGGGTATGTTTAGAGTCACAGCAAGCTAGCAACACACCCCCACCTTGGGGGCCAGAGTGCGCTCATGCATTCGCATCCAGTGCTTCCTGCGAAAGCAATGCAATAGCCACGCATGACAGCAGCAATGAGTGCTTTCCCTCTGACTCGCACACTTGCTATCTTCAGACACACTCGAATGAACCAAACCCCTCCGGAAGCCGCTAGCAGAATTGTGCGTACGCCCGCGACTGGCCAGAAAAACCACGCAACGCCAATCAAATACACATCATGCCCCACAAAACTTGAAGTCATCACACCCAGGTCTCCTGATCGCCTACCCCACAGCAATTAAACGCCAAACACACACGGAGGGGCAGCGTCAAGATGTGACTACAGTATGTACCACTGTTGTCACGCAATAGGTCAACCACAGAGATGTGCTGTGCACATGCCGCATCCGCGCGAGTCTCAAATGTCCTGCGGCCACGCCGACCGTCGCCAGCGGGTGAAGCCCTTCCCTCTATCCGGTGTATGTTCAAGCCTTGGAAGCGTAGTACGCCTTCACCTGTGATGGGTCATGTGTTTGTCAGGGAGGGAGGAAGGGAGAGAGGAGGGGACGGGGGGACGGGGGTGTGCACTCATAGTCGTGCATGCCGTAGTCGTTAGACCATTGACCTCGCATCCCTACAAAGCCGGGACGGAGCACGCCGGGTTCTCACCGGACCAGGCTCTCACATAACCAAGCGCGGAGCGCCGTGAGATATTCGGCGAGTCGCATGAAGGGTGCGCTGCATCCTACGAAGGGTTTTCGGCATCTTGTGCTTACTTCCTTGCGAACGGATGACAGCTGCGTATGACTTATTTTATTTGCTGGTGCTTTCACTTCCTGACAGTTGTACGCACTGTGCAACTGCCTCGAGGGTGCTTGACCATTTTAACACAACGTGGTGCGATCATCCCCCTTGCGCGGAGTGAGGGTTCTCGACCCCGCACATCATGATCTACTCGACAACCATTATGGTTACCGCAAAAAAAAAATACAGAGGTGAAAATAAAAAACGGTAACCTGGTTGCCGAGTTCACGAAGTGAATTAGCTTGTTTTACAACGTCGTTGCCAAGCGACGAAAACCCAACCCCGATGGCAAACACCGNGGGGGGGGGGGGGGGGGGGGGGGGGGGGGGGGGGGGGCGGTATATCAGGGCGATGGCGGAATGCAAGAGGAAGGCGGGCAAAGCACTTGCAACTTTCTCGTGCCGTTCATCTGAGCTATTCGACGTGGCCGGGTATAGGAGGGGGGGCGATGGGATGGCGGCGGCCTTGTCACCATGCGTGACCCACGCGCACACGCCGTTGGGGGGGTATGCACACTACGCGGTGGCAACGCGAAACAACCCTCACAACACTCCGTGTCGCGCTCCACCCACCCCGAAATTGTGAAATGAAAGACTTGAGAATGCCATCAGACTCTATGGCCGATTAGGTCCGTGAATCCTGCCAAGATCGCCTTTGTGCATGTCATTGACACACAGCATAAACAAATTACGCGATGGGTAGGTGTTCATTCCATAGTCTGTGTGCAACGAAACGAAGAGACAAACGGGTAGACTACATGTACATGTGGAACCATCACTTGCGGAAAGCACAACACCACATCTATATGCATAGTCTAGACTATGTCCACTCGACCGACAGCAGTCTTAGTTGTAGCTCAAGTGTCTGCCGCACCTCCAAGACAGGCAGGCCCTTGCCCGCCCACTTGGAGGCACCGTACTCAGGGAACTCCATCCTGTTGTCCTCGAAATCCCTCCCGGCGTAGGCGAGCGCGACGCGGGTAGCCTCGCCCCGGCCGGGGATTCCGAAGTAGTTGAGGGTGGCGGTGGAAGGCATCTGTCTTGTTGTCTTTGATTTCTGTGTCGTGTTCGTTGTTTCAGTGGTTGCGGGCAGGACACATAAAGCCGGGGGGGGCGAGACAACGGCGGTGGAACGAGGGGCGGACCGAGAGGGAGCGGGAGCGAGAGCGAGAAAATTAGGGCACGCGCAGTGGTGATACAAGGAATTCGACGAGAGGCGGAAATATCTGAAAGGGCGTTGTCGATGAATGGGGATCGTAGCACTTGGTGTAGGACACAACCAGGACTACACAACGCGGCGAGCCTGGCACACACGGAACCTGCCGATAGATTTCTAACGCGTCTGGACTTGTCCTCTGCGGCGCTGTTAAGTGTGTTCTTGTTTGTGCCTGCTGACTGTAATATTCATCCGTACGCCTCGTGTTTTCGCCCGCTCGTGAATACTACACAACACACACGTGGTCATGTAGTTACATACACACAAGCGCTTGTTATCGCTGCCATCTCGGCATGTCGACCAAACACACGCCTTCCGTACGGGAAATGGCTGTCGTGTACCCGGGAGTACAACCACAAGATCTGACCGTTGCGCCCACCCTCTTGCTGTACGTGCCGCTTTCTGTGACAAAAGACTTTTCTACAAGAGGTCAAGTCCTATCGCTAATGCATTCACGATACATGTGTATGCACTAAAGAGAGATCGACCCCACGCAGTTGCGATCAGAGAGAATCGGAGACGGTTCGTAGTCGGACAGCGCCGACGGCTGTGCAGTGCAGCGTGTGTATGTACATGGTGTACACGAACCGAGGCAACGTACTAATCTGACCTCTGCTGCTAGCTGACGCAACGCGCTCTCTGAGCGAGAGCATTGTACTGCTGTCTCGCAAACATACCTATGGAGAGGGATGGGTGGGTGTGTGGTCGGTCTCGAGCTGAAGGACTGCTGGGAGAGAGGAGAGGAAGTGCTTGTGAGTGAGCGTGTGTGATGTGGTGTGTGGGGAACGCGAGACCATCTCCCTTTTTTCCCGTATGGGCAACTTGCTTTTCTTTGCCCCGCTCATTTGCACACCTTTCGCCCCGCGGGGGAAACAACTTGCTTTTTTTTTTTGTATCACGCCGGGTCATCGGCAATTTTCTTTCACCCCGACTTTTCGGGTTTCTTCTCTCCTTTGAGCTGCTTGTTCATGGGGTACTCGAGAGATAGATGCGATGGACGTCGTACTATATATGATGGGCAACGTAGGGCGTACATACATAACCGGCGATAATCGATCACAGAGATATGCAGCACCAACACCACTGCTGTGATGATAGTCAGCGTGCCGAAACAAAGACCGGGCGGACCGGTGGGAACGAACATCATCAGTCAATCGAGCACGCGGATGCAGGTGTGTGGATGGTATAGCTTTTATAGCAGATAGATTCCCCTTGAACCCAGCCAGGCTGGCTGTGGTTGTATTGGTACCATTCATCATTTTTTTCGTTTTGTAATACCTTCCGTAGGCGTTGCTAGAGATGATGATACTGAACTATCGCATACGACACAAGATAAAACACCTCCTGGGCTGATTTTCAGAGTTCGGTTTCTCAACAGCAGAGAGAGTCACAGCGCCGACAACGGCGGCGTTAAACGCTTTTGGTCGAGAGCTCTCCGAAAATGTATCGTTTCGTTTATGCATCCTCTTCTTTATCGTGAAGTCATTGAGAGATTTGAAAATGGCTCCAGGGGGTGTGTTATCTTGTGTCGTATACGGTGGTCTGCTTACTGCTTCTTGTCTACGGCATGCATACGTTGATTCAAAGGGAGTAGTAACTCGGACATAACAAGGTTAGGCGAATGAAGCGTTGGACACCGTGTGCAGCTCAAACTAGCTCTGACTCGTTAGACGTAATACACTGCAGCTGTTGTTTTTGCCCTACAATGTATCAGAGTGGTCTGGAACGTGACCACCACCAATGTTTTGAAAACTAGACCTGACTAGCGGATAGAGATATTACATGCACGAACGAACGAACCAATCCAAAAGGGATAATTGCAGTGCCGGGCTTGCCGAGGGCGTGGCGGCAAGCCAATATCCCCGTAAACGCGTTCAAACAAACATGGTCAAAGAGAAAATGGGAACGCGAGCACGCAAACAAGAAAAAATAGACCCACACCGTACAAAAGAGGAGCGATTAACTAATAGTGAGGAGTCGATGTGAAGACAACAATAACGATCATCGATCAATCAATCAATATTCAATGTAGATCAGGGGTGCAGAGTCACGAACTCTACGAAGTAACACGGAGGAAGTAGGCATATGACGGTGCGGCGGCGCTACTTTCTATTTCTGGTGTTGACTAACTCCTCCTAGCTGTCTGTGGGGTCATCCGCCCCTTGCGTATATCTAGTGACTACATTAGTAATAGTCTAAATGTATACCGTATAAGACACAAGATAACACACCCCCTGGACCAATTTTCAAAGCTCGATTACTCCACGACGAAGGGATGCATAAATGAAACGATACATTTTTGGAAAGCTCTCGATGAGACGGTTCCAACGCCGCTGTTTTCGGCGCTGTGACTGTTCCTGCAGTTGAGAAATCGAGTTTCGAAAATTGGCCAAGGGGATGTGTTATCTTGTGTCAAATACGGTAGTCCTCGCATGCAGAAGGTGCTGTAGCTCTTTGTTGCGATAAATTTTTTTCGTACACCAAGATGAGCCACAGATGCCAGCGTTGAACGATGTTTGCAACACGTGGGGGGACAAGAAGCTTGGCGTACAGTCTACTTTCTGGCGTGGTACGGCGCACCTATTTAGTTCAGTATTTAGTTGACAATGGCTGGCCCAGCTCTGGGGACCACTCAGCGTTCTCCCCCTCCCTACGACAACCGTAAGTTTTGTTATTATATGTAGTCTAGAGAAGGAAACATTTTGCACTACCGGAAGAAACAGAGAGACTGGGTCAGAAGAACACCTCAACGAACGGTGGATCCGTACAGTAAGTAAAGTCTTTACTTCAACTAACACTAAATAACACTGCTGTGCTCGACGAGGGAGTACGGTAGTGACGACGAAATAAGAAATTGAGCTTCGACCCGATTTTGACATTTATTTCTTATCTCCGGGTCCGTACTGCAATCAGTCCCCGTTGTTGTTGTTGTTGTTGACTTCACATTAAACCGTATGCCAGTTGCTAAATGCCAAAATCTAGCAAAGACTCTCAGCCCGTGGTCACGAAAGTGCTAGAGCCATCTGAGGATCTAAA